AAGAAGCGCCGATCAGCTGGAATGTTGCAGCATCTCCAGGGTCTTGTGATTTACATTCAGATGCTTAGCAACTGATTCATATTTATGACGGTCACAGTGTCCCAGGGTCATGTGAAGCGACCAAAACCTGCTGCAACCACCTAGCAGACGGGGGGAAATAAAAACCAAACACCCCCCCCACCCCACCCCCCGCTGCCAATCCTCAACAGAAATGCTAACAGCAATGAAAACCTCGGACAGGAGGAAGAGCACGGCCGGGTGGGCAGGCAGATGTCTTGCTCGGTTGTGGCTTGGGGGGCACTTTTTTCAGTGCCATTGTAACTTCGAATAGTCACTAAATGAACTGTTGTAAGTCGAGGACTCCCTGTACTTTATCACTTTTTTCCTTTTTTGGGGGGGGTCATCAAGTTTTTGACACCTTGCTAGGCGACTGGTGGTACTCGGATGTTGCCCTATCCTAAAAGTGGTACAATGGGTGAAAAGGTTGAAAAGCCCTGTCTTAGGTGATCAGCAGCCCAGCAGATGGCGGCCTTTTCCTGTTGCATTTGGGCCAAGAAAAACGGCTCCTTGGATTGCAGGGGGTCAACTGAGGCAGTGGTGTTACTAATACCTCTTCCCTGGAATTTAGTTCTGTCCCCTCTCTCTGCAGGATGCTAGTAACTCTTTTTCTCAGCGTTTGCACTTCTCAGCGCTGACTTAAAAGTGAACTCTTTCCACAGATTGGGCATTTACAGCATCTGCCTTCTCTTTGAATAGCGCACCGGCCTATCTAAGACAGCCTGATCCCAAATTCCTATGGCCAGCCGTTTTATCCGTCCCTTTGGCATTTTCTTAAAAACAATTTCCAGCAACTACAGGCCTTTGTGAACTCCCTTCGTAACATCCTGAAAATATCTATCCTCTCTGCTTAGCTGAATGGTTTATAAAGAACATTTTATGCCTCCTGGCTGTCCAGTAACCAATATTCTCATTTTTATTTTTAAATTTAAAAAGCACAATTTGGGAGGAGCACAAAAATTAGAGCGATGTCAGCTCGACTGGATGGAGTAGCTAAGGCTTGGCTCACCTGCCAGGGTAATTATTTTCATAATGGCGAGAATGAAAGATCCTCAGATTATTATAGAGGAAATGATAGAGGCGATGGTTCTTGTTCCCAGTTTGAAACCCTGTTATGTATAGGAGCAAACTGGTTTTTATTATCCTTTTATACTGCCCAATAACTTCTCTTAAATGGAGGGATATAATGGAAACACCTACAACTAAGTATAAATCTTTAGTAAGTGGGGACTGCATTGTAAGTTTGGCTTCCAGTTTCCAAAGATTGTGGTGCCACAGTGTGCAAAAACTGAGCATTGGTGATCGGGCGCTTCTGAGATTATTTAATGCTGAATTTACTTTTTAAAACAACTTGTTGAGAAAGGAAGATTACAGACGTGGTTTGGAAAGCAGAAAGATCTAAGTACAATGGTGAAATCTACAGATGTTTGTGCACATCATATGCTAAGACACCTGTATTCTGCTCAAATCATTTAGATCTATTTCGCTATAAAATCTTTCACGTTCTCTTCCAGGTCATCCTGTTAATTCAGGAACTTTTAAGTGACTTAAAAGTCCTACCATGCCCAATGCGGTACACTTTTATAATTTTTGTATACTTGAATCATTTTACTGCTTTCAAACTGACATAAAAAATACCCCAATCCATTTTGTCATTGGACCGCTTTCCATTTTGCTCTCTGAAGACCCCAGCCCCGAATTTAACTTAATACTTGTGTAAATCAGTTTCAATTGTATTTAGTTGTGTTACAGAAACTCTCTGTAAATATGTGAGTTACTAAATGAGAAATTGCCAGCTGCTGTAGGAAGCCTGTTTCAGATGATGTGAGTTATCAACTTCCCTGGCGCCACAATGTACAATCATGAGTTGTGCACAGGTATTTTGTCCCCCCAGTTTTTTCAGCTCCTGCCAACAAGGCTTGAAGGATATCATTTCTGCTAGCTCAGGGGTCTTCAAACTTGGCAACTTTTAAGACTTGTGGACTTCAACTCCCAGAATTCCTCAGCCAGGCATGCTGGCTGAGGAATTCTGGGAGTTGAAGTCCACAAGTCATAAAAGGGCCAAGTTTGAAGACCCCTCGCTGGAAGACACGAACACCCCCTCTTCACTCTTTTTTGCTGTTTCCGTCTTAGAAGTGGGAAGGGGCTGTTAATAATTTGATAGTTTGCATGACATAGCTGGGAAAGGCTTAATCGGCCCTGGAACTGATGATTTTAAGTTTGTTTCAAGCTACACGCTTATCTCTACCTTGACCTAGTTCAGTATGTTGTACAAACACAGCTGAGCAGTCATCTTTCCAAAGCAACTGTACGTGCCTCCTTGATAGCTTGGTTATCTACCAGTATAAAGCCCGTCCTGGATTGGAAACAGAAAACCAAAATGTTCACAGTAGGGAGACAAATTCCACATTGTAGTCTTTCATTATCTGGAGAAATGCTTGGTACCTAATGCTCTTGTTGCTAGTAACAGCTGTTTATTATAGAGTTGGTTGATTGTATGTGAGGTGTAAGCGGTCTGTGCACTTTTTGGAGCATAGCCATGCGGGCTCCTACAGTTAGACGTGACCCAACGGAGAAAATTTTATTTTTAAAAAGTTGAGTCTGTATGTAATTGCCTTATTCTACTGTACCAAAAGGGTCAGCAGCTTTTGTCTTTTCCTTTTTATCCTACATTTTTACTTCTACCTTTCTATTACACGCAAGAATTTGTTCACCTCTCTTATTTTTTTTAAAACTGCCTTCTACAATCTGGATGCCCTGAACACGCGCGGATTTAATTACCAGAATTATTAACATGTTTGCCAGGGGATTCTGGAAGTATACTTATTGGAAAGATGGTGATTTGAGTTTAATGGCTGAAATAATCGCAAAAATACTAAAAGAGTCCTGGTATGCCGTTGTGTAATGGCAAATGTGGGCACCACGACTTAATCGCTTAGACCAGGGGTTAGTCAACCTTGGCTCTTTTATGACTCGTGGACTTCAATTCCCAGAATTCCTGAGCCAGCTTAGTTGGCTCAGGAATTCTGGGAGTTGAAGTCCACGAGTCAGAAAAGAGCCAAGGTTGACTGCCCCTGGCTTAGACCTTTCAGACAGAAGAAATGTAGAAACCACAGAAAACACGAGATTGTTTTATTTACAATATGTACATGCCGATCGGATAGCTCTGCTTCACGCGCTGAGGAACCCGCATCCAACAGCTTGGAAGAATATATATATATATTTTAAATAATCCCTTTAGAGGAAGTAAACTCGTAGCAGCATTACTCGGGAATGTGAAAAAAAAGTTTAGTCCCTTCTTACATAGAAAATATTATAGCCAAGTTCTATTATCCCTCCAATGAGCAGAATCCAGAGGGGAATAAAGACGTAGGAAAGTTTCATTGCGGTAAATTGTTCCAGTTTGGCGCAGAGAGCAAGGCAGAAGGCCAGCTTTAGCAGCATGGCCGCGAGGTACCACGCTTTCTTCTTGAGGTTCTGAGAGCCGTTGCGAGGATCGTAGCCGGACTTACAACGGCGAGCCATTTTCACGATGATCATCACGAGAAGAATTGTGTCAAAGATCCAAACCGGAATGAATATGAGAAACCAGTTCCACGGGGCCTTTTCATCCAGCTTTAACACCAACATGATCAGGAACAGTAAGGTGAAAAGCCATGTGAGTAGCACTCTCTGGGCCAAGGACATTCTCATCTAAACAGCCGTGGTAGGACAGGAGCCGGAACAGAAAAAAAAAAATACGCCCTAGAATAAAGGAAAAAAAAAAAATAGGACGATGGGTAAAAGACACCCCACTTATGCCCATCCATAAAGCTTTTGTTATTTTTCAAAAAAACAACAACCCTAAACATTGTGAGCTGAGAATTTTTGCTTTGATGAGTTCTATGAAACAACAGGAAATTCTACTTGTTTCATTTAATTCATTTGGCCTTGCACTGCAGATTATTGTAATAAACAATTTCCTTGAGGGACCAGCCACGCTGGAAATTTGGTGGAGGAGGGCAGACAGATATAGAAAGACTAGAAAGCAGATGATGTTTTAGTCCAGGGGTCTTCCAACTTGGCCCTTTTATGACTTGTGGACTTCAACTCCCAGAATTCCTCAGCCAGCTTGCCTGGCTGAGGGATTCTGGGAGTTGAAGTCCACAAGTCTCAAAAGGGCCAAGTTTGAAGACCCCTGTCTTAAATCTAACAAACAAAATGGAGGCTGGCTGAGGAATTCTCGGAGTTGAAGTCCACAAGTCATAAAAGGGCCAAGTTGGAAGACCCCTGTCTTAAATCTAACAAACAAAATGGAGGCTGGCTGAGGGATTCTGGGAGTTGAAGTCCACAAGGCATAAAAGGGCCAAGTTTGAAGACCCCTGCTTTAGTCTCACCTTAGGCATGAAACCAGGTGGGTGATTTTGGGTCAACCCATCTCACATGATTTTGTTCTGGGAAAACTAAGAGAAGGAAAGACTGTTAGGCATGTTTGCAACTTTCAGTAACCTATAAAGTAATAAAGGCGAGATTAAAAATCCAACTTAAAAACGCTGATAACCTCAACTATTCTCTAGTACCAGCAGATTAGCCCTAATTTTACAAAACTCAACTTTCCTAAGTGTGAATAGCTGTACTTTTAGCTTAGCAGAATGATCAGAGAGACCCTGCTTGTGACTGTTATTCAGCTGCCTAACAATATTGAACCTCTTCGATTTTGGTAGTCATCAGCAATCCAATATTTTTTTTAATCATCATCATCTTCTCTATTTTGTTCTGGAGAATATTGGCGTGATCATTAAACATAGCACGGCCCTGATGGCAGGCAATGAAAAACTTATGTATCTAGCTGGAGAACTTATAATAAATATACCCATGCATTATTGGATTTAGGGCTGTGGGAGAATTTTCACTCTGCCCTCCTTTTCCAGGTTTGCCAGTTGATAAAACACCCTGGCACTCTAAAAAGCTGTTCTAGGTTGCTTCTCTCCTTGATTAGTTTCCATCCGTTGCTTCTCGTCCTGCCTTCAGGCGCCTTGGAGAATAGCTTGACTCCCTCTTCTTTGGGGCAGACCCTGAGATACTGGAACTCTGCTATCATGTCCCCCCTCGTCCTTCTCTTCATTAAACTAGACATACCCAATTCCAGCAACCGTTCCTTGTATGTTTTAGCCTCCAGTCCCCTAATCATCTTTGTTGCTCTTCTCTGCACTCTTTCTAGAGTCTCAGCATCTTTTTTACATCGTGGTGACCAAAACTGGATGCAGTATTCCACGTGTGGCCTTACCAAGGCCTTGTAAAGTGGTATTAATACTTCGCGTGATCTTGATTCTATCCCTCCGTTAATGCAGCCCAGCATTGAGTTGGCTTTAGAACTAAGGAGAAACTTCCTGACAGTTAGAACAATTAACCAGTGGAACAACCTGCCTCCAGAAGCGGTGAATGCTCCAACACTGGAAGTTTTTAAGAAGAAACTGGACAGCCATTTGTCCGAAATGGTATAGGGTTTCCTGCCTGAGCAGGGGGTTGGACTCCTCCTCCTCCTCCTCTTATTATTATTATTATTATTATTATTATTATTATTATTATTATTATTATTATTATTATTAAATATAAATAACTCAAGCCCGAGTAATTTAAAAAGGGTTGACTTAGTTCCTATCACTATGCTTCTCTTAAATGAAAGCAGAGCAGCGTCTGCAACAAAGGTGCTTATATCCATTATTACACAGCATATGAACTTAATGGAGCTGCTAAACTTATGTATGCAGAAAGTCCTTGACTTACAACAGTTCATTTACTGACCAAAGTTGTAACAGCACTGAAAAAAGGGACATGCCCGGTTTTCACACTTATGACTTGCAGGTCCCGAGATCAGAATTTGCTATTTATTTATGACGGTGGGTTGCGGTGTCCCGGGATGATGTGATCCCCCTTTTGCAACTTACTATAGCAAGCGAAGTCAATGGGGGAAGCCAGATTCGCTTAACAACCGTGCTACTAACTTAACTGGTGATTCACTTAACAACTGTGGCAAGAAAGGTGGCAAAATGGGGCAAAGCTCACTTAACAAATGTCTCGCTTAGCAACCGAAATGTTGGGCTCAATTGTGGCCCGTTTTAAGTTGAAGACTACCTGGTATCTATAGATTACACAGCACGCAACAAAATGCCAGGATCCTGCCTAAGTATTATTACCCCCAGTAGAGTTCTTAGCGGCTACTTCTCGATAACAGATTTCCAACAAGCAAACANAAGCGGCGCCTCCCCATAGGCCGCTCTGCTCTCCCGCGGCGCTCTCATCGGCCGGCGGAGCTGTCTGTCATCCCGCCCGGCTCCTCCCTCGCTCCCGATTCGCGAGCCCAGTTGCCTGTCAGAATCCGTTTCCCTTCGAGCCCCTCCCTCCCCTCCGCACACTCGACGGAGCTGTCATTTCCCTTCGGAGGGTTTTGCCGCACGGGAGCCCGCCCGTCCGCCCGCCCGCCCGTCCATCAAGCCAGCCAAGCGCTGTAGGCCGCGCCCCCTCTTTTCGTCAACGAACTTCTCGCCCAATCAGGGAGGCGGACTTCGCCGCGCGTGAGGCTTTTCGAGCGCCGCGCGCCGCGGGGCCCGCGCTCCGCCCCGCCCACTTGAGGGGGGGGGAGGAGGAGGAGGAGAAAAAAGGGGGCGGGGCGTCTTTCCACGGCGGCGCGCTGTTGCTGCTGCTGCTGCTGCTGTTGCTGCGGCCGCTTTTCCTCCCCCCTCCCTCCCCCTCTCCCTCCCCCGCCTCGGGAGCGCGCGTTGCCCGCCCCCCCTCACCCGCCAGCTCGGTAGCAATTGCCCGGCACGCGCTGCTCCTTCCCGGCTCTGCAGAGGGAGGCTGGCTGGCTGGGGGGGGGGGATCCCCGGGCTCCTACAGCCCCTCGCCCGCCAGCGGAGAACCGGTGAGTGCCCCCACCCTGCAGCTGGGAGGGGAGGGGGGGCGATCGCCCCCCCTAGGGGGGGGAGGAGGAGAGGGAGGGGCTGCTGCACGTGCGCGGAGGATGCAAAGCCAGGAGGGGGGGGTTGTCCTTGGAGGAGGGCGACGTGGCTGGCGAGAGGGGGGGGGTTGGCTCGCTGCTTGCCAGGGATAGAGGAGGGGGCTGCATGCTTTCCTCGAAGGGGGGGGTCTCGGCTGCTTTGCCCCCTTGCAGGGAGGTAGGAGGGGATGCACAGGTCAGCAGGGGGCTCCAGGCCCCCCCCTAGAAGGGGGTCTTGGCTGTCTTGCTCTCTTGCAGGGAGGTGGGAAGGGATGCTAAGGTCAGCAGGGGGCTTCAGGCCCCCCTAGAAGGGGGTCTCGGCTGCCTTGCCCCCTTGCAGGGAGGGAAGAAGGGAGGGCACAGGTGAGCAGGGTGCTCCACCCCCCCTAGAAGGGGGTCTCGGCTGCCTTGCCTCCTTGCAGGGAGGTGGGAAGGGATGCTAAGGTCAGCAGGGGGCTCCAGGCCCCCCTAGAAGGGGGTCTCGGCTGCCTTGCCCCCTTGCAGGGAGGTGGGAAGGGATGCTAAGGTCAGCAGGGGGCTCCAGGCCCCCCTAGAAGGGGGTCTCGGCTGCCTTGACACCTTGCAGGGAGGTGGGAAGGGAGGGCACAGGTGAGCAGGGGGCTCCACCCCCCCCAGAAGGGGGTCTCGGCTGCCTTGCTCCCTTACAGGGAGGTAAGGGGGTGCAAAGGTCAGCAGGGGGCTCCAGGCCCCCCTGGAAGGGGGTCTCGGCTGCCTTGCCCCCTTGCAGGGAGGTGGGAAGGGATGCTAAGGTCAGCAGGGGGCCCCAGGCCCCCCTAGAAGGGGGTCTCAGCTGCCTTGCCCCCTTGCAGGGAGGTGGGAAGGGATGCTAAGGTCAGCAGGGGGCCCCAGGCCCCCCTAGAAGGGGGTCTCGGCTGCCTTGCCCCCTTGCAGGAAAATGGGGGAGGGATGCCAAATTCAGGCAGGGGCTCTGGGGTCCCCCTTTATAGGACTTGGCTGCTTTGCCCCTTGCAAAGAGGTCGGAGGGGAGGGCACAGGTCAATAAGGGGCTCCAGGTTCCCCTAGGACTGGATCTCGGCTGCTTTGTCCCCTCCCAGGGAGGGGGGAAGGGATGCAAAAGTCAGGAGGGGGCTCCACCCCCCCCCACAAGGTTTTTTTTTTTGGCTGCTTTGCCCCCTTGCGGGGAGATGAACTGAGACACCACAGTCAGGACTCCCCTGGCAGCTTCTGTGCAATTGCACTAGCACACCTGCTTGTGCACCATCCTGCTTGGTGAGTATCCAGCTCCACCCCTGCCTGGATCCTTCCCAGGGAAGCAGTCCAGAAAGTTGCAGGTTTTGATCCAGCATNGGCAAAGCTCACTTAACAAATGTCTCGCTTAGCAACCGAAATGTTGGGCTCAATTGTGGCCCGTTTTAAGTTGAAGACTACCTGGTATCTATAGATTACACAGCACGCAACAAAATGCCAGGATCCTGCCTAAGTATTATTACCCCCAGTAGAGTTCTTAGCGGCTACTTCTCGATAACAGATTTCCAACAAGCAAACACAAAAAAACAACTTTCCAAGCACCTGCCCCATTCTAGGCATTTTGAGGGGTCCTGGGTGCTCTCTGCGCTTGGCTGTTTTCTTGCAGACGTTTCATTGCCCAGGTAGGTAACATCATCAGTGCTAGAAGAGAGGGGTTTCTGGAGAAGGAGAAGACCAAGGAGTCCTGGGTGCTCTCTGAGCTTGGTGGTTTTCTTGCAGGCGTTTCATGACCCGACTAGGGAACATCATCAGTGCTTGG